ACGTGTCCCGCTGCTGTAGGGACAGGGCTCTTTTAGGACAGGTTTTGAGGTCCATTTTGGGTGCAGTTGTGTCACGGGGGAGGGCGTGCAGCCACCTCGCTGTGTGCACGTGGCGGGGGGGACACGAAACCCAGCCGTGCACTCTTTCAATGAACCAGAAAGAAGTGGTCTCAGCCAGCGGAGCCTGGAGTTGGGGGTCAGGTGTTTCCTTCACCCTGTCAGAAGAGTGATGTTTGACATGGAGAGGCAAAGGAGGGCACAAAGAGAGTACCTGGAGAGAGGTTTGTGCTTCTATAAATCTTTATTAAATGTTTTCCCTGACCTGTAAATCAAAGCAGCCTGCAGAGACGAGGACAACCACAACCTTAACCATGAAATTGATAACAGTTAAACTTTAATCCAAGGGGAAAAAAAAAAATTTTTTCCCTGTTCTCAGTGGAAGTTCTCACATACCATGTCCTTCATTTTTTTCATCTCCCGCTGCTGCCAAAGCACCGAGAATTGGCACAAACAGATCAACATTATCAGATAAAGAGCATATTAAAACAGCGTACTTCTGCTGAAGGATTATCCCATGTGTAGAAAAACTCAGTGCTGGCTGTAGGTCTTCTGAAGGCGGAGGAAATCTCTTTCTTGAGCAGACTCGCCAGCTCCCTCAGGACCTGAGTGCAGACAGTGCTGGCTTTGCTCTTCCAGCTGGTGAGTGGTGCCATACCAGAAGGAGGCAAAGACAGGAGCAAGTTCTCCGTCTGCTCCCTTGCTGGTTCAGCCTAGGAGTGTCTGGTCAGACAGAGCAGAGCCAAACAGTGGAGGGGGAAAAAAAATTGCCTATATGCAGTCCCTGTGGCAGCTACTGTAAGCACTAAACACAATTACTTTAACAGCCTGGATGATACTTCAACCTGGACACCCTGAAACCTGATTGAATGCTAGTAAATCTATTCATTGGCAAGAGCCTGCAGATCTTGTTGCCAAATAACACAATGGGCGAAGTTAAATACCCAGTTTTGCTAAGTAAAACCCAGCTAAGCATTAGAAATTAGAAAGGATGATAATTGTCTTCTTTGGGACCCATTTCTGCATGGCTGCATCTTTGAGATGTTATTTTGCAGTAGTCCTGTCATGTAACATCCCATGTGGAAATTCCTTTACAAAACTCCAACTGGTTTAGAACTGATTGCTCAGCAAAATATGAGATATGGGATGCCTGATGTCAATCTGAATTGTGTGGTAAACCTAGTTATTCTGCATTCCTCAGTTTACAGCGTATCACTGCTGTATATACTAGAGCTGGTTTCTACCAACCTGTCCCTGCAACTTGCTCAGTCTCAAACTTGCAAGCTGGGACAGTGGAATACAAACCTAGGCAGAATTTGTCCATGTAGGTATGTGTTATCTGGGAGAGCGATTTGCTTTCAACAGATTCATTAAAAAACCCAAACCCTTTCAAACTGCTTTTGCCAGGTCCTCAGAAGCCAAACAAGGTCAGCAGTTGTTACTGCTTAGGGTTCAACCTTGCAAGAATGGACACAGCGCCACATTTTCACATTTATATAGTTTCCAGAGCGGGGTTGGTCCATGTCTAGTGTCTCACTGTGAGGACACAGTGGGATTGCATCTGGATTTACATTCACTGTGTAAATAAACCCTCAAAACCTCCTAGCGCTTCTCACATAGACAGCAATGTTATCTCAGTGTGCTGTCCAAATTCCAGTTCAGTCAGTTACATTCTCAGTGCTTAAATTTCTTGTGTTTTTCTCAAAAAATATTACACAGTTCCTCTCCTCACCCTGGTATAGTGTTGTAATATGCTGTTACTGTACTCAGAGGTAGCTGCATTTTAACTAGGGTAAAATGATTGACATACAACTAAAACTTGATACATCAGTAAAGTCTCCGATTTCCATAGAGCCTGCTCCTTTGGGGAAGAAGTGCTGGCATTAATAAATCTTAGAGTTGCAGAGAAGTGGGCAATGTTGGCAAGTGCATTTATTACAGATGTGTAGTTCTGCACAGCAGATTCTTGCAGATAAAATGTGGAGGTCTGATTAAAGACTAGAGTAGGGTGATTGCTCATGTACAGTGATTTCGTTAGGTTGTCTCTTAACAAAGAGCGATGTACTGGAAGTGGTGCATGATATATAGAATTTGAGCGATATTGAACTACAAGAGGATGTTTATCTATCCTGTGTAAAAATGTTTCTGTCCTAAACAGGCAGAAACAAGGATGAGTATAATTCTTATGTAAAAAAAAGGCAGGAAATAATTATACCAAGGAGCCTAGAGCTTTTGTTAGTTTATAGACTTGGTGGATGCTTGACAAACAAACAAAGGTACAGTTGAAAGTGAGCAGAGAATTTAAGTTCTGCCTTGTCCCCTACAAAGTGTTGCTTAATTTTAAAATAATACATGAAGCCTTGCTCCTGGTCCTGTTAGAACTGGTCATATGTTTATGAGGTCTTTGCAGGACTAAGTCCTTAAATGGTTAAGTTATGATTAAAGGGTGCAATCCAACCAGCAAGAAATACTACTTTGAGTTTTAGCTTAAGTCACATATCTTTGCATTTGTATCAGACACAGCTGATAGTTTCCATGCATGGTAATCTCCTAGGTCCTGAAAGTTTGAGTGAGATTTTCCGTGAAATCAAAAACATTGATGATACGTGTTAGCTTAGGCCAGCTTAAGCCACATTATACTTTTGGACTAGTTTCTCTTTCAAACGTTTCTCTTTTTTTTTCCTCTTTTACTCTTTTTAATTAAACCATGGCAACTCAATGTGTAAGCAGGGACTTTACAAAGGTATTTTTGCGTCTTAAAAGTGAAGTGACGTCCCAATAAAGGTTAGACACTGATTTCTGTTGGGTTCAGGTCTCCATCTAAGCATTGTGGAACATACTGAATTATACTGAATTATTTTTTTTAAACTTCAGCCCTAATAAGTGGACATTTATCTGTGAATTTTCAGATTGTTCTTTACCACTTTATTAGCAAAGTCTTCAAGAATATATGTAGGTATTATTTAGTCCTTTTTTTCTTGTGGAAAAAATGAGAGGACCTACAGCGGATAGGAGAGAGATTTTTGCCATGGTGGAGAGCAGGGAATTTCTGCAATTTCTACTTCCCAAACAGCCTCTTTTGTCTTTTGCTTTTGCTAATACTTGGTCATTTCTTATGCCCAAGAACGAGCAAGGGCAAGGTAGGTCATAACAGTGAAGATGGAAGGTGAGTGAGAAACGTGATGCTTTAGGTTGCAGTACATGCAGCCTAGAGAAATAAGTGACATTTGGATGTCTGAAATCATGAGTGGAAAAGATTTGGTGTTATTGCACAGGGGTATGGAGGAAGACTGCAGCTCAGAGGAGGATAGAGCTTATTGGGTGGGAAGGCAAGTTTTGATCCTCAGTGAGACAGGACTGACTTCATAAGCGGAATTGCTGAAGTATTTATGAAGAATACTAACTTTCCACCTGAAGACTGAGGATGAAGTTGTGCTTTGGATTAACAAGACAATGCAGCAAGACATCTCTGGTCCAACACTGTAAATACAGGAGCAAAGACTTCCATGAGGATACACTAAAAAGATGTCAAATCCATATGTACAAAATGTGCAGAACGAAAGAGTAGTGAGTAGACATGCAAAATAAAAGATCTTGTAAATGAAGTGACTAGGGTTGTTGCTTCTGTCAGAGATGTGGCAAACAATATTCTGTGGGTACAATCACAATGCCATCATGCATATCCATCGCTGAACTCGCCGGGCTGCTGGGTGATGTTTTACATGTACAGGTTTTTGCAGAGTTTGGAAGGAAAACAGGTTGTCCATAAGCACCACTGCTTTCTTAGTCAGCGTGCCACACGCTGTCCCTCTGCCATGGTTATCAAACAGTATCAGCAGTTGAACGCGTGCCGTGATGGATGGTGCCCTGGTCTGTGCTGAGGACTGTACTTAGCCTTGCTGACTCTGATGTCTCCACTCTGAGCTCCTCCCTGTGCTTTTCTTTCCTGTAGCTGGTATGTCGGGATCCCAGATCAGTGCCTGGTGATTTGGGCAGATCTAGTTCTGGTCCTGTGCTCTCATCACGGGAAGGTGCGAGCAGGGATTGCAGCCTTTCATGATTGGCACCTAAAGTGGGTTGACTCTCGCTCTGCTCACAGTGTGGACATCCCTGTCAGTTCTGGGTGTTCATATAGTGTCTCTATCTGAACATGACCGTTATAAAATGCAGTTCATCTGGGGGTTGTCTGATGTTGATATAGAGCTTTTAGGTGGAATATTTTTAAGTATTTTTCTGCAATCAAAGGAACTAGGACCTCTCCATTCACTCCCCCCCCTCTCTGCAATTGTGTGAGTTTAAATTAAGTGGGAGCTGAGATCCTCGTGTGATCATAAGACTCCTGGATTAGGAGCTGTTAGATGAGCATCAAAATGTTACAGGACTTAGAGGACAAAGAAGTCCCCCACAACTCATGAACTGCCAGTTTTGACTAGGTTTAGCTTAAACTCCTAAATCACTGTTTATATTGCAAGGAAAAGAAATGTGTGAGCTAGCACATTCCAAAAAAGTACAAACAAGAAAAAATAATGCCTTTTTTTAGAGGTATATAAAGCATCAACCATACATACAGAAAGGCCAAATTAATCCCTGCTGTAATTCTTCCAAGTCCAGTGGAACTGTGCCAAGAATGAATGTAACACAAGGCAAACAGTCATGTCAAAAGAAAGTTACAAAACTTTAAGCTCTTCCAAGAACACTCAAATAATTGCTGATTGGTCTCTGTATTTGTAATTTACATACAAAGATTGATGACTTTTGGCTAAAGTTACTGCTGACGCCTGCCTCTAGGGACATACGCTGCTGAATGTGGTCAAGCGAACAATTAAGGGGTGAGACAGTCCTGTCCTCTTTGTGTTGGACCAAGGAGTTCAGAGTCCACTGGTGACTCTTTCGGTCCCATAATTGACAGCTATTCTTGCTCTAGTAGCTGAACTAAAAATAATAAGTGCTGAGATACATAATTACAAAAAGCATAAAACTTTTTTTTTTTTTTAAGTTGCAAGGGCCTGGCTTATTTAGAAGAACAAAATTAGATCATTATAGTTTTAATCATCAGAAAAAGGAAGCTAGTGAGTTGATTAACCACCTCCTGCACTGCCACTGCCTTCTGATCTTGCAGCATGGATTTGCCAGCCCACTCTCACTCTTAATTATCTGTGTCCAAATGCTGTTAAATTATAAACTAATTTTATCCTAGGGCTTTATTCTAGAAGTTCTGCTAATGAGGCTGATATTACTTATCTTTACAATATTGTAAGGGACTTCTGTTTAAAAGCAGGACAGTATCATAAAAAGGACAAATTCAGTCTTGGCAAAGTAGTCATCTATTTCCTTCTATCATCTGGGTACACAGCATGACAATCAAATTTTTAAAAAATGAAACCATAGTACTAATAATTCTAATACAAGAGTATGTTTTATGAAGCTGTTCCTACAAGAAGCATTTATCAAGTTATTAATTCTTGCAGGAGGACACTGAAATGAAGACTCATCAAGTATTACAATATCTTTAGATTTTCACTGTACTTAAGAAATGTATTTATCACCATTTCAGGATTCCACATGTATTTTCTTTAGTGGAAATTTGTTCCAGACACAGAAGGCTCATGCCAGCCTCTTTGCAACCTTGAAGACCAGCAGTG